CTGAAACTTTGAATGGCCTTTATCTTGATTAGATTGTTAAGTTCAACCCTTCCCAGAGGATCCAGGGATTGGACCTGGGACCTTCTGCATGCAAAGCCAATGCTCTACTTCTGAGCCACAGTCCTCCTCCATAGAAAGGAACATACAAAGTTGCCTTGTATGGAACCAGACCATAGGCTACAGATTGTTCAATGTTGTCTACCTTGACTGGGACTCTGCAGACCCAGCCCTGTCTGATTGAACCTGTGGCCTTCTTCTGCATGCAAAGCAATTGTGCCACCCACAGAGCTATGGGGCCATTCCCCCTCTTAGTCAAACTGTTGATCCTTCTCACCTACAGTAGCTGTTCCTCATTTGACTAGTCGTGGTTGTCTAGGAGTTTGTATCAGTGGCAAATCTACGATGGAGATGCTAATTACTGAACTGAGCAGGGCTTTGATATACAAAGCATATATTTTACTGCTGAGTATTGGGATTTTTCTTTTGACATAGCATTTGTGAGAGCTTGAATGCTGTCTATAAATGCTATAAAATCAGGATTTAGGTGGAAATTTCTTTTTGTGCCTCGTTAGATTGTCTGGACTTGAGCAGGGACAATGAACCAATCTTGAATTCTGAAAACACAATTGAATACTGTCAAATGTCCTAAAAGCAATGTTGACTTGGGAACAAAGCATCTCAATTCAGAGGCATCTGTGTTGTAGGGAAAGATCTCTCTGGGGCACCCTCTAAACCCAAAGGTGCAAGGATAAATATTGTATGAGCATGGATTGCAAAGGTTGCTGATGTTGCATGTCCACCACTGGTGGGAAATAATTTCCTTGGGAAATATTCTAGTATATTTAAAGAACATGTCCCAACAAATCAGGGATCATATATGAAACATACATATAGAGGTATAAAATAGGGGAAGGGGGACCGTGTAGCCCTCCAGATGTTGTTGGTTCCTGATTCCCATCACTCCTAGCCAGCATGACTGATAGGCAAAGAATGATGGGGGCTGGAGTCCAAAAACAACTGGAGGACCTCAGGTTTCCCATTGATGATCAACAGAGTTGCCAAACCTCCAGGTCTAACCTAACATCTCCTTTCAAATGCCTGGCGGAGGCTTGAATCTCCAGGTGTTTAAGACTACCAATAATAATAAAAGTAATAATTCATTAAGAAGACTGTGCATGCAACTTGCAAGCTTCATCCCAACAGAGCTGGCTGCAAATGACAGCTTAGATACTTGGGGAGGGCCTGCCCTGCTTGCTTCTCTCTTTCAACTAACCTCAGTCTCCAGGACCCATAACATCACAAGGAACCACCCCAGGGTCTCAGGTTTGGGCTCTAAAATATCATGGTTTGGGATGTTCCTCACGTGGCAACCCTACTGGTCTAGGAAATGATGTTTATCAAAGGTAGGGAACCTCTGGACCCCCAGATGTTATTGGACTCTTATGTCTATCATCACCAACCAGCATGGCTAATGGAAGAAGAAAAATGAGAGTTCTAGTCCAACAACATCTGGAGGGATCACATACCTGCTTTACAGAATACCCCAAAAGCTGCTCCCTTGGAGAAACCAGATCAAAAAATGACTTTGGTCTTTCTCTCTCTCTCCATCCAGAAGTCATCAAAGCCATAGAAAAGATGAGCCAACAACGACTACAACAGGGAGGAGGTGGCTGTTGCTGTGGTGGCAACCGTGGAGGCGGTTGCTGTTGTGGTGGCCGTGGAAGAGGAGGAGGAGGAGGAGGAGGCTGTGGCTGCTGTGGTGGCCGTGGAGGCGGTTGCTGTTGTTGTGGGGGCAGAGGTGGTGGTGGATCATCTCAACAAAGCCAGAGGAGTGGAGGATGCTGCCGTAGTGGTGGTAGTGGTGGTGGTGGAGGTGGTGGAGGATGTTGTGGTGGCCGTGGAGGTGGATCTTCTCAAGGTGGAAGCAGCAGTGGCGGAGGATGCTGCGGTGGTGGAAGCAGCGGTGGAAGCAGCAGCGGAAGCAGCGGTGGATGTTGCAGTAGTGGCGGTGGTGGTGGAAGTTCTCAGCAGAAGATGAAGTAGATGCCTCCAAAAAGACCTGAAATCCCAACCCACAATGACCACCACCTCTTGAAGATATCTTCTTGCAAAGCAAACAGTTGCTGTCTTTTCCAGATGATGAGCCAGACCTTCCTCTGGCATGGAGAACATCAGTCTTTCATTTTCCTGCTATGACTACCTCTTTCAAGGCATTAAAAACTTCTTTCCTGCAAGCCTTTCAGTGTCATGGTGTTCTTTTCCTATCTTCACTTCTCCATACACACATAATGTTCCTACTCTTCACCCACATTGTCCTCTCTGCTCCCAAGCTCTGCAAGTAGTCCTTACACAAAACTTATGGGAGATGCTTGGGATTGAACCTGAGACCTTCTTCATAAAGAAGGTTCTCTGCCACTGATTTAGGAGTCCTCCCAAAATAGGAAGCTGCCTAGATAATCTTGCCCACTATGGCGTACTGTGACTGGCTGCATCTCTCCACGGCCCCCAAAAGAGGAAGATATTCCCCATCCTTTCCCATGTGCTCTTTTTTCAATTGGAGATGCTTTTGGCTAAACTTGCGACCCTCCTTCCATTATTGAGCTAGAATGATGGACCTACGGCCTCAATAAAAAGGAGCTTCCTATTTTCTTCTTCCATGGTGGAATATGCAGGTGGCTTTTAAGAAAACTTGATTTAAATTTGACCTCTTCAGTGAATGGTTCACTGTGTACCTACTATTTTACATCTGTTCTTATTTCAGGCAAAGATAGAGGTGTTCTTTTGAATCTCCTCCCAGCTTCCACCTTTTCCAAAAACACCCAGATGAGTCATCTTGTCTAATTCCTTGCCAATCAGACTCAACCTGATTACCACCTGAGAAGAGGAGTTAGTTAGAAAGGCTGATTAGGAAAATATATAGATGACTGTCTAGTGCTCTCCTTTGGGTTGTAAATCATAGTCGTCCTTTGTGCCCCAGTGGATTCTCCCTCCAATAAAATATATGAGGGGGTTGGGCTTCCAAAAAATGATGGACTGCCATTCAAATGGTGTGTGTGCACCGTGTCTATTTCAGGATAATTACGTTAAGACTTGGAAGGAGATAAAAAAAGAATTTGGAGATTTGGAATACATTAAACATCTCCTTTTGGGGAAGAAGTTCCACGATAAAGATGAATGTGTTTCCAAGAATGATCTTTACGTTCCAATCAATTCCAGTGATCATGTGTGCAAGGTGTTTCAGAGATTGGCAGAGGGATATCTCAATATTTATTTGGCTGGGGGAGGACCCAGGATTAAGCACCAACTATTAAGTGACATTAAAGAGAGGGTCCCCTCCCCCCATTGCCAGACCTGAAATTGTATCATGAGGCGGCTTGTCTCTCCTGGGTCTGGGAATGGTTGACACTACAAAACACTTGCTGGATCTGGAAGGATTCGATAATTGCATGCTTACCTAGGTTATGAAAAGGTTAAAGTCCACAAAGGCTTTTTGAATCACCTGTTTAGAAAATTGCTATATATTCTGTGGGCTAAGTATAAGGACCTGTTAGAGCCAAAAATGCCATGGTGGTTATCCCCGATAGAAGCATTATCGGTAAAGGGAAAAAAACCCCATGAGAGATAATTGGGCAACTTACAAAGATTTATTGGAAGACAAGGAAAATAGGCTATTTAAAAAATAATAATTGAAGAAATTCAAACCCACTTAACGCACTGGTTGCAATATTTCCAATTACAGTGGTACCTCGGGTTAACTACTTAATTCGTTCCGGAGGTCCGTTCTTAACCTGAAACTGTTCTTAACCTGAAGCACCACTTTAGCTAATGGGGCCTCCTGTTGCCGCTGCGCTGCTGGAGCACGATTTCTGTTCTTTTCCTGAAGCAAAGTTCTTAACCTGAAGCACTATTTCTGGGTTAGCAGAGTCTGTAACATGAAGCATATGTAACCTGAGGTACCACTGTAAATGAGACATTCCGAAAAGACAAACAGAAGGGCTTTTCCACAGAAATATCAAGACTTGAGAAAGATCTAATTCAAACCATAAAAAATCACTCTCTAAAATGTACAGACTACTCCTAGACTGGGAGGTCAAAGAGGAGGAAGTTAAATCAGTAATGGTCCAATGGGCCAAAGATTTCGGTCACAATATTCAAATGGAAGCATGGGAAAGGTTATGGAGGTAGGAACTGAAATTCACTGTGTGCTATGACCTGAAAGAGAATTTCAGGAGAATGCTTTACCGATGGTACTTAACACTTGTAAAACTAGCCAAAATGTACAAAACCAGGCCAATCATTAGTTGGAGATGCAGAGAGGTGGAAGGTACGATGAACCACATGTGGAATTGTAAAAAAAAAAAAAAAGGGAATTCTGGGATATAATTTATAATAAAATTAAGAAAATGTTTAAATTCTCCTTCTCCAATAAGCCTGAAGCTTTTCTGCTATGTATAATGCATAACGAAATTTAAAAAAAAATTAAGGAGAATTTTTATGTATGCAATAGCCGCAGCAAGAAGTTTAATTGCAGAAGTCTGGAAAGGAGATTCCATCCCTAACAAACTGGAGTGGCAAATGAAAATGTTAGAATATGCAAAGTTAGCAAGAATGACAGCAAAACTCCGAGATGACACAAAACAAACTTTCAATAGAAAATGGCATATTTACAGAGTATATTTAAAAGAACATTGTAAAAATCTAAATTCTCTGGGAGGCCTGAATTGACTTCTGCATGAAATTAGAGAGTTGTACAAAATCAATTTAACTGAAACAACTTCGGAGAGACAATAGAAAGTATGTAGCCGCAAATGTAGTTTAGGAACCACATTGCGGTGATCGGAAGTCATGATGGAATTTGTTATGTAGGAATCTAATTTTTTTCTCTCTCGGTAATATGTATCAATTCGGACTTGTTTTCTTGATTGTTTTGTTTTTGTTTTTTTAAACCAATAAAACATTAATATTATTTTTTTTAAAACGGCGTGTATGCACCATGTCATGCGATCGATTATTGCTCAGTTGGCAGAGCATAAGACTCTTAATCTCACAGTCATGGGTTCAACCCCCATGTTAGGCAAACAATTCCTGTATTACAGGGGATTGGATCAGATGACCCTCCTAGTGCCTTCCAGACCTACAATTCTATGAAAGTGGTGAGTAATCAAATACACATTTGATGGTTCATTGTAGCCATAAATGAATTTCCAAGGAATATGGATGAGCTCTGCCCACACCAAGTGATCTCATAAGAGAGAGAAACACCCCTGGTTTCCCCACCTTGGAACTCATATGGGATGTGTCCAGCAATCATTGCCCAGGTGACACAAGGACAACATGACTGAGACCCAAATGGATGGAGACATCATCCCTTGTTGGAAATTCTGTGTGCAATGCTATGAGTCAAAGCCAAGGTTGCACAGCTCCAACTAATTAAGAAAGAGATTGGTACAAAATCCAAAGGAAAAGAAAACAAATAAGCATGGCTGGGCCATGGCTCAATTGACAGGAGGGGTTGGCGAAGGAATAGTATAAAAAGGTGTCCTGGATGGGAGGCTGACATTCACAACAGCTGCACTTCCAGAGATCTCTTTGGTGAACCAGGTAAGTCTCTCTCTCTCTCTCTCTCTCTCTCTCTCTCTCTCTCTCTCTCCCTCTCTCCCTCTCTCCCTCTCTCATCCTCCTTTCAGGCAGTGGTGACTGGTGCCCATTGGGACTGGCATGGTGGAAGGCCTTAGAAGCAATCTGCTTCCCTCCAAGGCTGCTGGACTCCAGCTCTCATCATTCTCCAAAAACTCTCAGCACTCTTAACAAACTACAGCTCCAATAATTATTTGGGGGAAGCCAGGACTATTTTTTCTTGGGGCCTTAAATGTATGGTCTGAATGTGGTCTTGAGAGAAATCTGTTGCCCACCAATATTCCTATTAGCCGCAAGCATGGCCAATGTTCAAGGATGCTGGGAGTTGCCATCCAACAACATCTAGAAGACACCACATTGGCTACTCCTGGATTAGTGTGAGAGAGATGTTGGATAATTTCCATGCTGACTGGTGGAGCAGGAGGCAAGGAGCCCAACAGCAGGGTTGTTGTGAGAATAAAATGGGGCAGGGGAGAATCATTTATAAATGCCTTGTGGGGCTCCCGGGAGAAAAGTTGGGATGCAAATGGAATCGTAAATAAACTGATTCAATAAAAGTAAGCCTAGTTCTGCCTTCTGTTTCCTACAAGTTCGCTTTGACAAGCAGGAAAGATGTGTTCCCGTCAGGACAAAGACCAATGCTACAAGCAGGAGAAAGAGGAAGGGTCCTGCTGTGGTGGCCGGAGGTCTTCCACCAGTGAGGACCGAGGTTCCTGCTGTCTGGGACGGAGAAACAGCGGAGGGTGTCATGGCAATCGGGGTTCATCCGGCTGTCACGGGAAGCAACAAGAGCAGCAGCAGCAGCAGCAGCAGCAGCAGGTCTTCCAAGTGCCATCTCAGCAGCTGAAGTAACACCAAGGAGAATTCCTAGAAGGGCCTAATTCTGCAGGAATTAGGTGGAGTCATTTCAACTACAGTTCCTGAGCATTTGAGGCACTCTCAGCTTTATCCCTGCAACAAATTCCACCACCCCAATGCTCCAAATTCTCAGCTACCTCTTCTCCCCTTCTAAGGGGGTCATCCCATGTGATATTTGGAGCATGAGAAGAGCAAAGAGAATCATCCAGCTATTTCTATTTGCTGTTCATTTGCACACATGGGTGAATAAATAATAAAAAATTTGTAATAATGAACTCCTGAGCTTTGATTTCTTTTAAACTTTTTTATTCTAAGCATCTCTGCATTTCATCCAAAGAATCATCCATTTCAATCCCGTGAATGACCAATGTCAATGTCATGTTGATGTAGGTTCATAGGAAGTTGCATTCTACTGAAACAGAGCCTTGGTCATCTAGCTCAGTATGGCATACATTGATTATTGCGTACATAATTGTGTACAGTGGCTCTCCAGGGTTTCAGGCAAGGTAGGCAGTGATGCTTCTGAATTCCAGTTGCTGGGAATCCCAGGAAGGAAGAGTGCTCTTGCATAGCCTCCAACATTTCTCTGATGAAAATAGGGAGGTCCTATGCCATTATTATTATTATTATTGCTATCATCATCATCAGCATCAGCACCAGCATCTTCATCATCAATATTCCACCTATCTGACTCACTTGTGAGTCACTCTGGACAGCTTCCAACATAAAAAAACACAATAAACCTCAGTATATGTAGTTTCCTTCAGATGTCTTTTACAGGTTGTATAGTGACTTATCTCTTTGGCTCAGGGGTTGGATAACTCCATACCCTCCAACATTTCTCCAGTGAAAAGAGGGATGTCCTAAGGAAAAGCAGGACATTGTGGGGTCAAATAAAAAACCAGGACAGCTTCTATAAATCCAGAATTGTCCCTGGAAAATAGGGGCACCTGGAGGGTTTACTCTTGGGGTTTTGCACTGTGAAAATAGGATATTGAATGAGATGCATCATTGGCCTGATCTATCACGATTCTTCTTTTGTTTTGGGGAATGCCAGGTATTGAACCTGGGACATTGGTTTGTTTGTTTTTATTGAAAGCCGGTTTGGAGGACATATCCTCAAAGCTCGCTTTTAAACACATTCAATGAACAAACAGACACAAACACGTAAAATACCTTACTCTTATACAATGTCTCCTTGTTAAAGTTTGTTGGGTCGTATATCTTTTGACCCACTGAGTCTGCTGCAATGGCCCTGCAATAAATTTGATTTATTGCCACTCCGACAAACTTCCAATGGCACCCACATGCTTCCACTCCATGCACTGCCACTCTCCTCAGTTGCCAGTGTTAACAGAAAAATCCGAGGGCTCCCTTGGACAAAAAACAAAGACACCAACCAAGATTACTTGGAGCAAAACAGCAGCCTGTAGGCTTGGCCTTTATTGATCTGTTGCAACAGGGTGCTCCCCTCACCTGCAGGAGAGAGGAGAGATCTCAGAAAATGGTGTGCAAGGCCTTATAAAGACTTTTGAAATTGCCACCCTGTAGATAAAGACAACCCCCCAGAAACATCATACATACATCACAGAAGGGGTGTAACCTAAGACCACCCCTCAGATACATCAGACCTGCATCACAGGAAAGGCGGTCTAAAACAGAAATTTGAATGTTGTTTTTCTCCTGTCCTTGTTTATCTCCTGTCTGGCAGGTTACTTGATTGGATTGCCTGGGGAGCCTGGCCAGTCTTTTGTAATGATAAATCCTTAGTTCCTGGGCCAGGTCACAGGCTCACACCCTATTCAAACACAGACATACCCTTAAGACAGGATTTGTGAAGGAAAAGACAATGGGGAGGCTTTTCCATTTTGACCCTGCAGAGAAAAGATTTGGTCAGTTTAGGAATCAAAATGGTTCCAGGTTGGCCTTCCTGTGCTGATCTATGTATGTGCTTGGTTGGTACACTTATGAACATTACCATATATTTAAGACCATAAAATTCCTATCACACCAGATAATAGCAGAGTTCACAAGCAGCATAAAATGGCTTGTCTGTGTCTACGTGGTGTCCTCAGTAACTCAGGTTGACACCAGTGCTTCTAATCTAAAACTCTTTATTTAGAAACATTCAAAACAGAAAAGAAAAACCTACAGAATCTAGCTGCATGTTTGCAGCTTTCTGCCTCTTAACAACCTTGCTAACGTTCTCAGACAGACTGCTCTCCAGAGAGAGCTCAGCCCCCACAGAGCACAGATCAAAGGAAAAAAGCACAGATCATGTGGGCAGTGCACCCAGTTGATAAGAACCACGCTCCTGAAGTGTTAACTCCTGACAGTCCAGAATCACAACACACCTGAAGCCCATCTGATGACAACCAGTTGGGTCCACAGGGACACCACAGATCCAACCCAAAGGAAGGACTGTAACTCACTGGTAAAACTGCTGTTTTGCATGAAGGAGGGGCTAGGTCCAATCACTAGAAAGCTGCAGCTGCCAATCAGTGTAACTGACCTTGAGCTAGATGGACCAATCATCTGCAACAGGGGTGCCAATCTGAATGAAGTATTGTGGGGGGCCACTTAAGCCACACCCCACACCATTTGAATGGCAATGCCCATTAACTTCTTGGGGGCCCAGTCCCCTCAAATATTTTAAGGGAGGAAGAAGCCACTACGGCCCTTAGGAATTGGCTCCTATGATCTACAACCCTAAGGAGAGCATTAGACATTCTTCTATATATTTTCCTAATCAGACTTTCTGGCTAACTTCTCGTGTCATGTGATAATCAGGTTCTGTTTGTTTGGCAAGGAATTAGACAAGATGACTCATCTGGGTGTTTTTGGAAAAGGTGGAAGCTGGGAGGAGATTCAAAAGAACACCTCTGTCTTTGCCTGAAATAAGAACGGATGTAAAATAATAGGTACAAAGTGAACCGTTCACTGAAGAGGTCAAATTCAAATCAGGTTTTCTTAAAAGCCACCTGCATATTCCACCGTGGAAGAAGAAAATAGGAAGCTCCTTTATACTGAGACCGTAGGTCCATCATTCTAGCTCAATAATGGAAGAAGGATCCCAAGTTTAGCCAACAGCATCGCCAATTGAAAAAAGATCACGTGGGAAAGGATGGGGGATATCGTCCTCTTTTTGGGGCCCTGGAGAGATGCAGCCAGTCACAGTAGGCCATACTGGGCAAGATTATCTAGGCGGCTTCCTATTTTGGGAGGACTCCTAAATCAGTGGCAGAGAACCTTCTTTATGAAGAAGGTCTCAGGTTCAATCCCAAGCATCTCCCATACGTTTTGTGTAAGGACTACTTGCAGAGCTTGGGAGCAGAGAGGACAATGTGGATGAAGAGTAGGAACATTATGTGTGTATGGAGAAGTGAAGATAGGAAAAGAACACCATGACACTGAAAGGCTTGCAGGAAAGAAGTTTTTAATGCCTTGAAAGAGGTAGTCATAGCAGGAAAATGAAAGACTTATGTTCTCCATGCCAGAGGAAGGTCTGGCTCATCATCTGGAAAAGACAGCAACCATTTGCTTTGCAAGAAGATATCTTGAAGAGGTGGTGGTCATTGTGGGTTGGGATTTCAGCTCTTTCTGGAGGCATCTACTTCATCTTCTGCTGAGAACTTCCACCGCCGCCACCACCGCAACATCCGCCGCTGCTTCCACCACTGCTTCCACCGCTACTTTGACCGCTGCTCCTGCCACCACAGCATCCTCCTCCGCTGCTGCTTCTGCTTTGAGAAGATCCACCTCCACGGCCACCACAACATCCTCCACCACCTCCACCACCACCACTGCCACCACTATGGCAGCTTCCTCCACTCCTCTGGCTTTGTTGAGATGATCCACCACCACCTCCACGGCCACCACAACAGCCTCCTCCTCCTCCATGGCCACCACCACCATGACAGCCTCCTCCTCCTCCACCACCACTTCTGCCGCCACAACAGCCACCTCCTCCTCCTTGTTGTTGTTGTTGGCTCATCTTTGCTATGGCTTTGATAACTTCTGGAGGGAGAGAAAGAGAGAAAGACCAACGTCATTTTTGATCCGGTTTCTCCAAGGGAGCAGCTTTTGGGCTATTTTGTAAAGTAGGTATGTGATCCTCCAGATGTTGTTGGACTAGAACAGGCATAGGCAAACTCTGGCCCTCCAGATGTTTGGGGCTATACTTCCCATCATCCCTGACCACTGGTTCTGTTAGCTAGGGATGATGGGAATTGTAGTCCCAAACATCTGGAGGGCCAGAGTTTGCCTATGCCTATACTAGAACTCTCATTGTCCTTCTTCCATTAGCCATGCTGGTTGGTGATGATAGACATAAAAGTCCAATAACATCTGGGGGTCCAGAGGTTCCCTACTTTTGATAGACATCATTTCCTAGACCAGCAGGGTTGCCACGTGAGGAACATCCCAGACCCTGATATTTTAGAGCCCAAATCTGAGACCCTGGGGTGGTTCCTTGTATTGTTATGAGTCCTGGAGACTGAGGTCAATTGAGAGAGAAAAGCAAGCAGGGCAGACCCTCCCCAAGTATCTGGGCTGTCATTTGCAGCCAGCTCCTGGTGAGATGAAGCTTGCCAATCTTCTGAATGAATTATTACTTCTACTTCCACTATTATTCTTACTGGCATTCTTCCACACCTGGAGATTCAAGACCCCACAAGGCATTTGAAGGGAGTCAAAGAAAACCTGGAGACTTTAGGTTAGACCTGGAGGTTTGGCAACCCTGTTGATCATCAATGGGAAACCTGAGGTCCTCCAGTTATTTTTGGACTCCAGTCCTCATCATTCTTTGCTATCAGTCATGCTGGCTAGCAGTGATGGGAATCAGGGACCAACAACATCTGGAGGGATACAGGTTCCCCCTTCCCTATTTTATACCTCTATATGTATGTTTCATATATGATCCCTGATTGCTTGAGACATGTTCTTTAAATATACTAGAATATTTCCCAAGGAAATTTATTTCCCACCAGTGGTGGATATGCAACATCAGCAACATTTGTAATACATGCTGCTGCTCATACGATATTTATCCTTGCACCTTAGGGTTTAGAGGGTGCCCCAGAGAGATCTTTCCCTACAACACAGATGCCTCTGAATTGAGATTCTTTCCCCCAAATCTACATTGTTTTTAGCACACCTGGCAGTTTTCAGTTGTGTTTTCAGAAATCAAGATTTGTTGCTTGTCCCCACTCCTGTCCAGCCAATCTAACCAGGCACATAAAGAAATGCCATAAAAACCCTCTAAATTTCCAGCTACATCCTGATTTTACAGGACAGTAGTCAAGCTCTCACAAAATGCTATGTCAATCGAGAAATCCCATTACTCAGCGCTAAAACACATGCTTTGTATATCAAATCCCTGCTCAGTTTTTTTTTTTTTTAAAGCATCTCCATCATAGATTTGCCACCGCCAAATACTCATGGACAACCATAGCTAGTCAGAGGAGGAACAGCTAGGTGAGATAGACCAACAGTTTGACTAAGAGGGGGAATGGCCCCATAGCTCTGTGAATAGCACAATTGTTTTGCATGCAGAAGAAGGCCATAGGTTCACTCAGACAGGGCTGGGTCTGCAGAGCCGCTACCAATCAAGGTAGACAACATTGAGCAATCTGTAGCCAATGGTCTGGCTCCATACAAGGCAACTTTGTTTGTTCCTATGGAGGAGGACTGTGGCTCAGAAGTAGAGCATTGACTTTGCATGCAGAAGGTCCCAGGTTCAATCCCTGGATCCTCCAGGAAGGGTTGGGAGAAGATCCAGTCTGAAACCCTGGAGAGCTGCTGCCCATTAGACTAGGCAGCACTGAGCTATATGAACCCAACAATCTAATCAAGATAAAGGCCATTCAGAGGTTCAGCACATCACTAGGAATTCCATCAGGCTGCAGCAGGGGGAGAGATGGGTCTGCAGGACCTCTCCCCCTTCCTTGCTAAAGGACGAGTTTCATCAGGCTCATCCCATCACTATCGTTTACAGCAGGATGGAATACAATGCCCATCTCCATTTACCTTTGGTCTGGCTGGCTGTGGATGATGAAAGTTGGGAGCCCAAGTATCTAAGTCCCAAGTTGTTAATGAGTTTCTAAGTTATCACAAGCATCTTGAATTTGGTTTGGCAAAATATTTGCATGAAAAAGAAGACAAGACAAAAGAGCCTACGGGAATCTGACAAAGACCCATCTTGTCCAGCATGCTGTTCTCATAGTGGCCAACCAGATGCCTGAGCACAACAGCTTCTCAGTAACTGGTATTCAGAGCCAAACAGCCTCTGCCCGTGGAGGTAGAACATAGCCATCGTGACTAGCAGCCATTAACCTCTCCGGTCGCAAATCTGGAAAGCTATTGGTCCTACTCAATTAGATTTGGCAGAAGGCTTCCTTGAAGAATGATAGATCCATTGACAGTCCAGAGAAGAGTGAGGTCCTCACACTTACCCGGTCAATCACTGAGAAGACGTTGTTGTCAAGTCAAGTGTTGTCGAGCGAATGAGGATCCCTCGGAACAAAAGAGCTTTTTATACCATCTCCAGACATTCCATTTCAGGCACCAGAGACATTCTATTAGAATTTTTGACGCACCCATGGCCTCACATTTCATTAACTCCCCACCATCTTGCATTAATGAGTTTTGACTCATTCCTACATGAGATTCCTATCTTCCGTTACACTTGAGTATGTTATGCACCTGTGTCTGTGGGTGCCTTCTGTCAGGATGCAACACCTGACTTCACCATCTAGCCCCATCCACATGGACTGGCAACTGCTCTTGAGGGGCTCAGGGAGGGAGGCTCTCCTAGAATTACCTGGAAGTGTTGTTGTTTGAATCTAGGACCTTCTGTACGAAAGGAAGATGTTCTGCTACTGGGCCTTGGTCCCAATATAGAACATAAGGAATTGTCTTACACCAAGTCAATCTGCAGTGTTGCCGAACTAACAGGGAGGATAAGAGGAGATATGGTACAAAAAGTGAATAAGGAGTCGGTTATCTTTAAGGAATGGGGGTGCTGTGGGTTAAACCACAGAGCCTAGGACCTGCTGATCAGAAGATCGGCGGTTCGAATCACTGCGATGGGTTGAGCGCCTGTTGCTCGGTCCCTGCTCCTGCCAACCTAGCACTTCGAAAGCACGTCAAAGTGCAAGTAGATAAATAGGTACCGCTCCGGTGTGAAGGTAAACAGCGTTTCCGTGCGCTGCTCTGGTTCTCCGGAAGCAGCTTAGTCATGCTGGCCACATGACCCGGAAGCTGTACGCCGGCTCCCTCAGCTAATAAAGTGAGATGACCGCCGCAACCCCAGAGTCGGCCACGACTGTACCTAATGGTCAGGGGTCCCTTTACCTTTTATCTTTAAGGAATACATCATAATTTATGTGGAAAAAGTAGAATTTCTGGCAGATATTGAGTGAATCCAGAAAATGATTAGAGTGAAAGGAGAGTAAAGTCAAGATAGAAGAAGAGATTAAAGAAATAATGAAATGCATTTAAGTTAGTTGGAAAAATAAAGTAGCGTAACAAGAACGGCTGGAAGTCACTTGGTGGGTGTCTGTGTGGGGTAGGTATGTTGATATGTACAGTATAGGTAGGTATTATATAGAGTAATGTAGGTATGGTTTATGTTATGAAAATAAGGTAGTGTGTTGTGTTTGTGTATTGTGTAAATGTATATGTATGCGTTTTATATGTTAATAAATTTTAAAAAGTCAGTCTGCAGTGTTTCAGACAGGGTGCCTTTCTAAGCTCTAGTTAGGGAGGCTGCTCTGCCACTAAGCTACCTTTATACATAGTTGTCAACTTATAGATTTGAAAATAAGGGACCAGCAGCCTTGAAAATAAAGGATCAGCAGCCAAAATAAGGGATTTTGCTTAGCTTATGCACGTTGGGGCTGCCGTCGTCCTGCACGAGGCATTCCATCGGCCCTTCCCCGCCTGAGAGAGACTCTCTCCTGTGAGCCCGGCATGAGGCAGTTGCGGCGGCGCTGCGGCCGTTGAAGTGCCGCCCTTCTGCGTCCCTCCGCATCCCCTCCTCTTCCTCCGCCCTCAGGCCGCCTCCTCAGCCTCTGCCGTTGCCGCCTCCGGCTTCCCCTAGCAGCGCGGTGGATGTCTCGCAAGAGAGGGGCTGCCTGCCCGCCCGCCGCCACCCGTCTCCTCATGACGCGTCCCTGAGGGGGAAAAGGGAGAGACGGAGAAGCGGCAGCTCGTGCGCGCTCTCTCTCTCGCGTGGCGGAGGACCCCGAGCCGCTGCTTCCCTCCTGAGCCGGGTGAGCATGAAACCTGGGAAATTTAAGGGACATCATCAATCCGGGACAGCAGCAGGAAATGGCACTGGGATAAGGGAGTTTCCCGCCAAATAAGGGACGGTTGACAGCTATGCCTTTATATTACTGCTCTGCCACAGTGCTATGGTCCTTAGCCTAAAAAATCAAGTGAGTATTAAGTCCGGTGTTCTTGAATAAAAAGCTGGTTTACACAGGAGGCTGTTTTCTACAGAGTCAGACCACTGGTACATCTATCCCGGTGTTAAACACACTGAAAGGGCATTGAGTCTTTGGGGTTTTAGGCAGGGAGCTTTTCACAGCCCTATCTGGAAATGCCAGGACTGTACCTGGCACTTGCTGTATGCTCTGCCACTAAGCTGTGACCCTTACTGTTGCTTGCTTGTAATCATTTACCATTAGTTGCTCAGATATTTTTATATTACTGTCTTATACAGTGGCATGGGGGCAGACGGGGCTCATCATATTCAGAAGGTAGTTCATCTAGGAGAAGGAAAACTGTGATCCAAATCTCTCCTGCCTTGTGGTTATACTCATTCGTGAGACAGGCTTTGGAAGTGAACCCTGAGGAGAAAGCCATTCCTGCTGCCTTGTGGGTTATCATCAGGAGAAGAAACCCTACACAAATATGGAGTGGAGTCCTTAAGAAGGTTAGATACTAGTGTCTTCCTCACCTCATTCCCACAACTCCTGCACCAAACAGGGGCCACATGAAATGCTCTTTCCCCCTCTTTGGATCACATCAGCAAGGCAGAAAGGGGGTTCTTATCATCTGGGTAGCCCAGGACCTCCATATATATGGCCACGGCTTGCTCCCCAGAGTGGAGTCCTTCAGAAGGTTAGATAGTGTCTTCTATGTCTCTTTTGAACACTTCTTGCAAGCAAACAATCTCCCAGGTTCAATACCGGGCATTCCCATAAGAACAAAAGAAGAATCATGATAGATCAGGCCAATGAGGCATCTCATTCAATATCCTATTTTCACAGTGCAAAAACCACAGGAGTAGACCCTCCAAGTGTCCCTATTTTCCAGAGACAGTTCTGGATTTACAGAAGCTCTCCTGGTTTCTGATTTGATCCCGGAATGTCCCACTTTTCCTTAGGACATCCTTATTTTCATTGTAGAAATGTTTGAAGGTATGGAATTATCCAACCCCTGAACCAAAGAGATAAGTCACTATACAACCTTTATAAGACAACTGAAAGAAACCACGTATACTGAAGTTTATTTATTTTTTATGTTGGAAGCTGTCCATAGTGACTCACAACTGAGTCAGATGGGTGGAATATTGATGATGATGATGATGATGATGATGATGATGATAATAATAACAATAGAAATAGGACCTCCCTATTTTCATCAGAGAAATGTTGGAGGCTATGCAAGAGCACTCTTCCTTCCTGGGATTCCCAGCAACTGGAATTCAGAAGCATCACTGCCTCCTTTACCTGAATCCCTGGAGAGCCACTGTACACAATAATGTACACAATAATCAATGTATGCAATACTGAGCTAGATGACCAAGGCTCTGTTTCAGTAGAATGCAACTTCCTATGAACCTACATCAACATGACATTGACATTGGTCATTCACGGGATTGAAATGGATGATTCTTTGGATGAAATGCAGAGTTTCTTAAAATAAAAAAGTTTAAAAGAAATAAAAAATCAAGAGTTCATTATTATTAATTGTTTATTATTTATTCTCTCATGTGTGCAAATGAACAGCAAATAGAAATAGCTGGAGGTCTCTCCTTGCTCTTCTAATGCTTCAAATGTCACAGGAGATGTTCCCCTTTGAAGAGGAGAAGAGGCAGCTGAGAATTTGGAGTATTGGGGTGGTGGAATTTGTTGCAGGCATAAAGCTGACAGAACATATTGAGAGTGTCTCAAGTGCTCAGAAACTGGTGTTGAAATGATTCCACCTAATTCTTGCAGAATTAGGCCCTTCTAGGAATTCTCCTTGGTGTTACTTCAGCTTCTGGGATGGCACTTGGAAGACCTGCTGCTGCTGCTGCTGCTCTTGTTGCTTCCCATGACAGCCGGATGAACCACGATTGCCATGACACCCTCCGCTGTTTCTCCGTCCCAGACAGCAGGAACCTCGGTCCTCACTGGTGGAAGACCTCCGGCCACCACAGCAGGACCCTTCCTCTTTCTCCTGCTTGTAGCATTGGTCTTTGTCCTGACGGGAGCACATCTTTCCCGCTTGTCAAAGCGAACCTGAAGGAAACAGAAGGCAGATCTGGGCTTACTCTTGTATAATTGGTTAATTTCTGAATGCATTTGCATCCCATCTTTCGTCCTGGGAGCCACACAAGGCATGGATATTAATGACCCTCCCCTGCCCCATTTTATTCTCACAACAACCCTGCTGTTGGGCTCCTTGCCTCCTGCCCCACCAGTCAGCATGGAAATTATCCAACATCTCTCTCACACTAATCCAGGAGTAGCCAATGTGGTGTCTTCTAGATGTTGCTGGATGGCAATGCCCAGCACCCCTGAACATTGGCCATGCTTGCGGCTAATAGGAATATTGGTGGGCAACAGATTGTTCCCAAGACCACATGCAGACCATACATTTAAGGCCCCAAGAAACAACTTTAAACAGTCCTGGCTTCCCCCAAATAATTATAGGAGCTGTAGTTTGTTAAGAGTGCTGAGACTTGTTAGGAGAATGATGGGAACTGGAGTCCAGCAGCATTGGAGGGAACCAGATTGCTTCTAAGGCCTTCCACCATGCCAGTCCCAATGGGCACCAGTCACCACTGCCTGAAAGGAGGACAAGGGAGGGAGGGACAGAGACAGAGACAGAGACAGAGACAGAGACAGAGACAGAGACAGAGACAGAGACAGAGACAGAGAGACAGACTGACTTACCTAGTTCACCAAAGAGATCTCTGGAAGTGCAGCTGTTGTGAATGTCAGCTTCCCATCCAGAGCATCTTTTTATACTATTCCTTAGCCAACCCCTCCTGTCAAGTCAGCCATGGCCCAGCCATGCCTATTTGTTTTCTTTTCCTTTGCATTTTGTACCAATCTCTTTCTTAATTAGTTGGAGCTGTGCAACCTTGGCTTTGACTCATGGCATTGCACACAGAATTTCCAAGCAAGGGACGATGTCTCCATCCATTTGGGTCTCGGTCATGTTGTCCTTGGGCAATAATTGCTGGACACACCCCATATGAGTTCCAAGGTGGGGAAACCAGGGGTGTTTCTCTCTTTTATGAGATCACTTGGTGTGGGCAGAGCTCATGCACATTCCATGGAAATTCAGTTATGGCTACAATGAACCAAAATGACATTATGTACACATTCAATTACTCACATTCTCTATCAGAAAATTGTAGGACTGGAAGGCACTAGGAGGGTCAAGTAGTCCAATAACCTGTAATACAGAAATTGTTTGCCTAATATGGGGCTTGAACCCATGAGCCTTAGATTAGGAGCCTCATGCTCTACCGACTGAACTATCCTGCAGCCCATGCGCACTGGCCTGACAGGAGTCTCCAGGATTTCCAGAAGTGGTGTGTTTCATCTCTACAGTGATGGCCACCAACTTGTATGGCTTTAAAAGGGGATACAACCTACTAGTGCAGATCAGACTAACAGTGGCTCCCAGCCATGAGAGCTACGTTCTCCCAGTGTTATATGCTGTATGCCTGAGCGTAATACCAGTCACTGGGAATCATCAGTAGGAAGAATTGCTGCTTGTGGGCTTCCCATTTTGGGTCACTTGATTGGCCACTGTAAGGACAGGATGCTGGACTAGACTGATCGTTGACCCAGCAGCCAGGTTGGTTTTATTCTCTCTTTTTTAAAATTTTATTTATTTATTTTGTTTTTCAAATCAAAATTTCATAGAGATATATCAAACATCAATCATAAAAACAAGAATCCAAGGAATCTCCTGGCCTCCCACCCTCCCCTTTGTGGGTCCTGTTATTTATCATTTCCTTCTGCATCTTTTATGATAGTCCAAATATTTTACATCTCCATTGTATCCAGAATTCACTCTTAAACTACAAGTCATATTCCAATCCTTACTAACGATTTTAACTGTTTACAATGGTCTTTAAGATATTATAATTTTCCCCCATTCCTTATGGAAATTTTGGCCTTCCTGATTTCTGATTCTTCTGGTCCTTTTGGCCATTTCAGCATCGTCCGTCAACTTCATCTGCCATTCTTCTCTGGTAAGGACTTGGTCTTCTTTCCATCTCTGGTTGGTTTTATTCTCTTATGACTTAACAGTGAGAGAGGGAGCTCTCCCATTCATGCTCTGCCTGTGGCTTTCCTGGCAGAATTTAATAGTTTACTGAGAGACCTGGCTGTTAGGTTAGATGTTAGGTTAGATGATCCAGCAGGAACATTCTTATGATCCAATGGGCTTTCTGTTTTATGTCTGGTAGGCACCGACGAACCCCTCATCCTTCTGGAATTAGTCTATAAGACCATCCAATTGGCTGTAGTACAGTGGTACCTCGGGTTAAGTACTTCGTTCCAGAGGTCCGTTCTTAACCTGAAACTGTTCTTAACCTGAAGCACCACTTTAGCTAATGGGGCCTCCTGCTGCAGCCGCGCCGCCGGAGCACAATTTCTGTTGTCATCTTGAAGCAAAGTTCTTAACCCGAGGTACTATTTCTGGGTTAGCGAAGTCTGTAACCTGAAGCGTCTGTAACCTGAAGCGTATGTAACCCGAGGTACCACTGTATGTGTATGATAAGATGTGTAAACCATTCGATCGAAAAGCTCTCCAATCCGTGTACAAATAAAACTAAAATCCACAACCCGGTTAAAAACAAATATACACAAAAGCATTACCATGGAACACAACATATATGCCCTCCCATAATCCCTAGTCAAAGTTCTATTGCTCCTTCATTCAATCATAGATTTGTAGAGCCGGAAGAGGTCACAGGGGTCATCTATTTGAAACCCCAGCAATGCAGGAATCACAGCTAAAAAATCCCCGATAGATGACTTTCCAGCCTCTGTTTAGAAACCTCCAGTGAAGGAGAAGAACTACCGTCCCATCTCCCTTTTAAATGTGGATTACAAAATATTTGCAGATATTTTGGCAAGCAGATTTAAAAAAGTTTTAAATGAAGTAATTCATAAGGACCAGGCCGGTTTTCTCCCAGGTAGACATTTGTTTGCTAACACAAGGAACATTATTGATATTTTGGAACTTCTCCAAACTGACATAAATACAAAAGCTGTTTTAATTTTTATAGATGCGGAGAAGGCCTTTGATAACATTTCTTGGAAATTTATGATGGGAAACTTAAAAGAGATGGGAGTGGGACGGGGTTTTGAGAATGGGATCGAGGCGATATATTCAGAACAGAAAGCAAAACTGATAGTTAATAATGTGGTTACAGAAGAGTTCAAAATTGAAAAAGGGACACGACAAGGTTGCCCTATTTCCCCTTTGTTATTTATTTCGGTCCTGGAAGTGCTATTGAACATGATTAGAGGGGACCAGCTGGTGGAAGGAATTCAGGTTGGTCAGAAACAATATAAATTAAAAGCTTTTGCAGATGACCTGGTTTTGACCTTGCAGAAGCCAGAGCCTAGCACGAAAAGAGTATTACAATTGATTAATGATTTTGGTCGGGTGGCGGGATTTAAACTAAACAAACAGAAAACTAAGGTTTTGGGGAAAAATCTGACTGAGACAGAGTCAGAACGGTTTCAGAATGAGACGGAACTTAATGTGGTTAAAAAGTAAAATACCTAGGGGTAAACATAACAGCAAAAAATCTAAGTCTATTTAAGGATAATTATGAAAAATGTTGGACAGAAATTAAGAGAGACTTAGACAGTTGGTCAAAATTGAAACTTTCTTTGTTAGGCCGAATTGCTGCGATTAAGATGAATGTATTGCCAAGAATGTTGTTTTTATTTCAAACACTGCAGGTATTGGACAAAATGGAGTGCTTTCAGAAGTGGCAGAGAGACATTTCGAAGTTTGTCTGGCAGGGCAAAAGGCCCAGAATTAAGTTTAAGATACTAACCGATGCTAAACAAAGAGGGGGCTTGAGCTGCCGGACTTTAAGTTGTACTATGAAGCCGCAGCGTTTTGCTGGCTAAAAGACTGGCTACTTCTTGAAGACACTGATGTGTTAGATTTGGAGGGTTTAACAATGTTTTTGGATGGCATGCATATTTATGGTATGACAAAGTTAAAGCAAATAAGGCCTTTAAGAACCATATTGTTAGAAAATCACTGTTTAATGTCTGGACAAAATATAAAGACTTGCTGGAAAATAAAACACCAAGGTGGCTTTCACCTTTGGAAGCTAAGGCCCGAAAAAGACCCAATATGGAGGCCAAATGGCCAAAATATTGGGAAATATTAGAAAGATGGAGACAATTGGAAATTGCAGAGCTTGGAGAAAATGAAAGACAAAGTGCGAGATTGGTTACACTATGCTCAGATTAAAGAAGTTTTTAAAAGTGATAAGAAACTAGGGTTCCAGGTGGAGAAATCGAAATTAGAAACAGAATTGTTAGAACCAAAGACTAAGATACTTTCAAGGATGTATAACTTGCTGTTGGAATGGAACACACAGGATGAAATGGTTAAATCGGCTATGATAAGGTGGGCACAGGATATCGGGTATAATATTATGTTTGAGGACTGGGAAAGGCTGTGGAGTAATGGATTGAAATTTACTGCATGTAATGCTTTGAAAGAAAATGTAATGAAAATGATTTATAGATGGTATATGACCCCAGTCAAACTTGCAAAAATTTACCACCTGTCTGACAATAAGTGCTGGAAATGCAAAGAGTGTGAAGGAACGTTCTTTCACCTCTGGTGGACATGCCCTAAAGTGAAGGCGTTCTGGGAAATGATTTATAATGAATTGAAAAAGGTATTTAAATATACTTTCACTAAGAAACCAGAGGCTTTCCTTTTGGGTATTGTCAGCCAAGGGGTGGCAAAGAAGGACCAGACATTTTTATGTATGCAACAACAGCAGCAAGGATACTACTCGCAAAACATTGGAAAACCCAAGATCTACCCACACTGGAAGAATGGCAGATGCAACTGATAGACTATATGCAACTGGCTGAAATGACTGGCAGAATCCGTGACCTGGGAGAAGAGAGAATCGAGGAGGATTGGAAGAAATTTAAGAACTACCTACAAAAACATTGTGATTTGATTGAATGCTGAATAAGATGCTGGACTAAATAACTGAGCACCACTTAACTTAGAAATTTTTAAGGAAACAAGAAAAATTGTGAAAGTTTAACTCTTTATGAGAACTTTAAGATTATGAAATATCGAAGAGATATAAGAATTTAAATAAGATGATAAATTGCTGACAAAACGTTATAATGATGAAGGTGGGAGCGGGAGATGTGAGGAAGTCCAAAGATAATGTGAAATTATGTTAAGACGAATGCTATATTGTTTATTACATTTATTCTTATTGTAAAACCCAATAAATTGCTTTAAAAAAAAAAAAAAAAAAAAAAGAAACCTCCAGTGAAGGCGAGTCTTATGTAGTCCATTCTACTGCTGAACAGCTTGTAATGATTCAGTCATTTATTATATGGTCACAGACCCATGAAAACGGAACACATAAAGTGTAAAAACATGATCATTTAAACATTCACTTGTTCTATTATAACTCTGTGGTTTTCAAGCTACTGACACAGGTTTGAGGCTAGTAGTTCCACCAGTGCTTCTCCCCCCCTAAAAAAATGTTGAGAGGTACTCTCATTTTGACTCAAGAAAATCACCATTTTATAGTTCAAATCGGGGGGGAAATAAATACAGTAAATGGACAAAAGTACAAAGATTCACAAAATGTTTAGGAGTATGCGTCCCTCCAGGAAAAAAGCATTGAGTATCACTATACTAGTAACAGAGATATCACTCCTGATGATTCACAGCAATGATGGCCCATGTGTCGCCTTAGATGATCTACTATTATGACACTGTCACAAGGAAGGAAATGACACCCATAGACTGCTGGAACTGTCCCTTTAACAGGACTACAATGAGATCATTGGAGCTGCGAGGAAGACATAATGCTGTGTGCAGCTGAAGTTTCCATTTAACGAAATGGAAACAGGAAATGAAGTCTTCTTATGCAACCTATAAAAGCCACAGTTAGGAAGATAGGAAGATCTGTCTTCCTCCGAGTCAGATCATTGGTTGGCTCTGCATTGTCTACAGCAGTGGTGGCCAAACTTAGCCCTCCAGCTATTTTGGGACTACAACTCCCATCATCCCTAGCTAACAAGACCAGTGGTCAGGGATGATGGGAATTGTAGTCCCAAAACAGCTGGAGGGCCAAGTTTGGCCACCACTGGTCTACAGTGACTGGCAGTAGCTATCCAGACTTTCCCTGCCCTACCTGAAGATGCCAGAGATTTAACCTGCAACCTTCTGTATGCAAAACAGATGCTCTGTCTCCAAATTATGGTCCTTCCTCTAAAATGGATTATAGTCCTCA